AGGTCTGGAGGTCTTAGTTCCAGGGGAAGATCCTATCTGGAGACACAGCACTGCTTCCATTGGGTTGGAAGCTAAGCATGCCCCCTGGATATTTTGGACTCCTTGTGCCTCTGGATCAACAGGCAAAGAAGGTATTACTGTATTTAGTGATGTGATTGATCCTGATTCCCAAGGGGAAATTGCATTAATATTGCATAATGGAGATAAAGAAGAATATGTCTGGAGTCCAGGAGATTTCTTCAGTCATCTCTTAGTACAACCATGCCCTGTGATAAAAGTCAATGGTCAACTACAGCACCTCAATTTAGACGTGACTATTAATAGCCAAGACTCTTCAGCAATGAAGATTTGGGTCACACTACCAGGCAAAGAACCATGACCAGCAGAGGTACTTGCTGATAGCAAAAGAAAAATGGAATGGGTAGTGGGAGAAGATAGTCCTAAATACCAGCTGTGGCCATGTGACCAGCTGTAGAAACGAGGGCTGTAATTGTTATAAGTAATTCCTCTTTGCATGTATGCACCAAATAGTTTTCTTTTGTTCACTTATAAAATATACGATGAACATGGGGTTGGTGCATTTTCAGTTGTACACGTTAGTTGCGGCATGCTGGGCACCAGTATGATTGTATTATTGTCTTTCTTTGGTGAGTAGATAAGGTTAAAGTTTGAGACAGAGGTGATCATTGAAATTGTTGTGGATGCTGTTAGGTGCCATCAAGTCGGTTCCAACTCATAGTGACTCTATGTACAACACAATTGAAGCGCTGTGCACAGGTGTCAACTTGACAAGGAGTGGTCTGTGTTGGCTAAGGATTTATGTCAGCTATATACACCTGGGTAAGGTTAGGGATGGAGCGCAACCTCTCAATTGGGTCGAAGCCTAATGAAAACTCCTTGGGTGTGCAGCCTTGTGCGTAAGAAAGAGACTGAGTAGAGTCCCTGTGGCCCTTTGCCTTTTGCTGGAGCTAGACCTTGCATCTGGTGCCTCCGTCTTCTGTTCCATAGGCTACCAATCCCAGGAGCATCGGTGGACTACAGACTATGGAGCCATTCATCCAACTTCAGATTCCATTTACCTCTCCATCTGCCAGCCTGTGCCCCCTGCCACCTCAACTTCATCACCCTGCTTCCTGTTTGCCAGCTTCCATGCGTCAAGAAAAAGCCTGACTTGAACCAGACTGAACTTACTTCCTTCTACGCCATGTAAGCCATTTCTCCAACTCAATCTCTTTCTGGTTTTGCTCCTCTAGAGAACCCAACCTAACTCAGCTATCATGTGTGTCACACTACACAAAGCAGGAGAACAGGCGGGAAGGACAGCTAACCCCAAATGACCCATACACAGTTTGTCTGAATGAGTCTAGAGCAGGAGTCCAGAAACTGTGGCTCACAAGCCATATGCGGCTTTCGGTACATATATGTGGCTCTGAAGTAAATTCGAAAAAAAATGTAAAGGATATTAAAAAAAATAATAATTTATCAATTATCAAGGGTTCATGAGGGAGGGAGGGAAAGAGGGTAAGGAAGGGAGGGGTAAATGAGGAGCTGATACCAAGGGATCAAGCAGAAAGAAAATGTTTTGAAAATGATGGTGGCAACAAATGTACAAATGTGCTTGAACACAATGGATGGATGGATGGATTGTGATAAGAGCTGTATGAGCCCCAAATAAAATGATTAAAAAATTTTAAATGATATTATTCAGATAAAGTGATTTCATTCTAGATCTTGAATGATTTTTAAATTGTTGTGAGGGATAGGATTGGTTCTTCTGTCTCAAAAGTTGGCCGAGCCCTGGTCCAGAGACTCAGAAGGAAGCAAACTATCATTCTGTTACAACCCCTCTGGGCTCATTAAACTAGATCATAAGCTCCCTCAGGGCAGCCTCTGTGTCTGTTTTGTCCACTCTTGCATCCACAATGCCTGCCTAGTTCAGTGTCCAGCCCATAGCAGCTACTCCATCTGTTGTGTGAGTGAATTAAACTTTCAGGGCCCCAAAGATTTCTGGTTAGCTGTTTCAGTCAACATTAAAAGCAGGGCCAGTTTTCCAGGTGTGCCCTGTGCCAGTAATTGCATAAGGCCCTGAGTTCCAAAGGGCCTTCTGGTTTAATGATTTGCTGTCTCTGTTCTGAAATTCACAATAAGACAAACAAGAAACTTCAATTTTCACTTTGCACTGGATCCTATGAATTATATATAACTCATCCTGGTTCAAAACACTGGTATGTGTTTCAAGAAAATGTTACCAAGTGGCTATTTTACAGAGGTATGAATGTCAGATTATCTATAGGGCTTGTGCTTTGAGAATGATGATGGCAACCAATGTGCTTGACACAATGGATGTATGTATGGATTGTGATAAGAGTTGTATGAGCCCCCAATAAAATGATTTAAGAAGAAGAAAAAAAGGAAGTTGTCTCTTTAAGATTAGAAGTATATTTATATCTCAGGCTTACCTGAAATGCTGGATCGGGGTTTTTCTTTCTTAAAATATGCTTCATACTCTCTGTAAACAATTTTCTTAAAGGAAATTCCAGAAGTATTCAAGCTGGAAATGAAATACAAACTTATTTGAAATACATTCAGCTGTGCATGACATCTACTTCTCCTAGTATGAAAAGGTAGACTCTCGTGTCCTCAGAATTCCAGTAGACATAACAGCAACTTTATTATATGCTAGAAACCCAAGCTTTTATAAGCATGGACACTAGACGCAGCTAGTGAACTGCAGGGAAACGTGTGAGAGCCGGAACTCAGTGGGACTGCCTTGTTTTTCCAGGCCTTCCAAGCACTCTGCCTTTGATGGGGTGCAATCTTCCCAGTTTTCTCCCTCTTGTTTTAGTGGGACATTTTAGTTTTCATTTTCATTTTCTTTCTCTGCCAGACTTCCACCTTACACTAGACTGGTTTTCATAGGGTTTGTAGTCATTAATAATCTCTTCAAAAATACTCCATTATCATAGCAATTCTCCCATGTCTTTAATTAGTTGCCATGCAGTTGATTCTGGCTCATGATGACTCCGTGTGTGTCAGAGTAGAAGGTGCTCCATCGGGTGTTCCAAGTTGGTTTTCTGGAAGTACACCACTTAATCTTTCCTCTGAGAGGCAAACTTCCAACCATTTTTAGCAGCCAAGCATGTTAGCCATTGGCACTCCCTGGGACCGTCCTTTCTGCAGGGCTCAGCGGTTGGAAACACCAGCTGCTCCTCAGGAGAGGGTAGGCTCTCCAGCCCCAGAAGAGGATCGAGTCTCAGCAGGCCATTCTCCTCTCTTCTGTAGGGTTGCTGTAAGTCGTGATCCATGTGATGGCAGCTCATTTGGGTTTGTTGTTTGTTAGTTTACTCCCATTACAAGGAGCCCAGGTAGCATAATGGGGTATGTGTGGGGCACTAACCGCAAGATTAGCAGTTCCAAACCATCATCTCCTCTTTGGGAAAAGACTTATAGCCTTGCAAACCCCAAAGAACAGTTCTAGTCTGCATTCTCGGGTCACTGTGCATTGAAATCAAATCAATGGCAGTGAGTTTTGTTTGTGGGGGTTTTGTTTTGTCTGTTGGTGACTCCTGTTAAACAAATCTTCTCTAAAGAAGAGCCCACAATAATCATGCAAATCCAAACATTCAGTTTAAATTCTAAATGATAAAAGATATGAGCAAGTTTTTATGAAGAGACATTTGAGTTATTTTTCAACTCCACGAAATAGTTTTATGCTCCTAGGGAACATGGTGAAGAACTGAAACAGGAGGCTTCTTCCAGTTGAGAGAAGTGGGGTGGCTAATGCAGTAAAGCAAAGTCTCAAACAGGGAAAAAACCTGTCTGAGGAGTCACTATCAATAAATGGCAGACACAGGATTTGAAGAGTTGTACCCACTGCATTCGTGGTAAAGAAATTCAGGGAGTGGGAAGCAGGCAGAGTATTGGAATTCCCTGTCTTTTATTCTGCGCCTCTGAAGATGGGACACAAGCCCATCTTAGGGCACAGCATAGAAACCCACCACGCTTGCCCTGACTCCATGTGACATGAAAAAAGAAACTGCCATCGAGTTGATACCAACTCACAGTGACCCTGTGAGCATCAAGAAGTTGTCAAGTTTAATACTTTCTATATCCCCAGAATAAATGATATAAGCATTGGGGACAAAATTAGTATCTACCAAGTTGGTTTGGAAGCCCTTGTGGCATAGTGGGCTATGATTTGGGTTGCTAACCACCAGGTCAGCAGTTCAAAACCACGTGTCACTTCATGGAAGAAAGACGAGGCTTTTTACTCTCATAAATCTACAGATGCAATTCTACCCTGCAGGGTCACTATGAGTCCATACAGCACAGTGACTAATAACTCAGTCTGTAGACTTGGTATCTGGGTTTGAATCTGATTTCCACCCCTTTTTACTGTGTAATCTTGAAAAGTTGACTTACTCTATTTGTGTCTCTGTTTCTACAACTGTAAAGTAGGAATAGAAGTGTAATCTCCCCTTGGAACTGCTGTATTAATTAAAGTGATGCATGCAAAGAGTTTAATGACACATTATGATTACTGAGTTAGGGTTAACGATTGATATAAGTTGGAAAGCACAATAAAAGTTGACGGTTATCCTTGAGGGTTTTTTTTTCTTCAGGTTTTTCCAGTGAGCAGAAAAACCATGATTGTAATAGTGCCAGCAATATTGACTACGCAAGATATAGAACTGTGTTAATGCTTTAGGGGCATAAATAAGTACTTTTGGAACAGCTACTATTGGAGATCATGCATTCTCAGTGGCTGGAAGCATTCAAAGTGGACAGCCACTGGCAGGCACATGATAGTTAAGGGTATGGGCTAGTAGGAGGTTCAAACATGGAAGTTGATAATGAACTAAATGTTATCTTGCAGTGCTTTTAAAGAGTACTGACAGGTATGTGTTGGACTGCTCAGCACAAGGTCAGTGGTTCAAATCCATCAGACACTCTGAGAGAGAAAAATGAGGTGATCCAAATCCATAAAGATTTATAGCCTCAGAAACCTATATAGGATTGCTATGAGTCAGAATGACTCAATGGTAGTCTGTTTGGAAGTGAGCTGGACTCCCTTGAGCCCAAGAATCCTAGGATTCTGTATGTGAGCTTAGGTTTCTAATGGGGAAATCCACAATAATTAATTTTTCTTTAGCATAATGGAAAAGTAACACTCCCTCCCTCATCTCCTGGCCAAATCTTGAAATACAGAAATAGAGATGTGGTGTAAAGTCTTCACTAAGAAGCATCTCTTCTTTGTGTGAATTAATCTCACATAAATTATTTTGTTTTGTCTTAAAGGATTGAAGATAAACAAGTGGCCATCTAGCTGAGAAGCAACAACGCCCACATGGAAGAAGCACACCAGCCTGTGTGATCACGAGGTGTGGATGGGATCAGGTATCAGGCATCAAAGAACAAAAAAAATCAAATCATTGTGAATGAGAGGGAGTGCGGAGTGGAGACCCAAAGCTCATCTGTAGGCAACTGGACATCCCCTTACAGAAGGGTTGTGGGGAGGAGACGAGCCAGTCAGGGTGCAGTGTAACAATGATGAAACATACAACTTTCCTCTAGTTCTTAAATGCTTCCTCCCCCGCCCACTATCATGATCCCAGTTCTACCTTACAAATCCAGTTAGACCAGAGGATGTACACTGGTACAGATAGGAACTGGAAACACAGGGAATCCAGGACAGCTGAACCCCACAGGACCAGTGGTGAGAGTGGGGATACCGGGTGGGTGGAGGGAAGGTGGGGTGGATAGGGGGAACCGATTACAAGGATCTACATATAACCCTCTCCCTGGGGGCCAGACAACAGAAAAGTGGGTGAAGGTAGACGTCAGACAGTGTGAGACATGACAAAATAATAATTTCTAAATTATCAAGGGTACATGGGGGAATGGGCAGGGAGGGAGTGGGGAAAAATGAAGAGCTGATACCAAGGGCTCAAGTAGAAAGCAAATGTTTTGAGATTGATGATGGCAACAAATGTACAAATGTCTTGACACAATAGATGGATGTATGGACTGTAATAAGAGTTGTATGAGCCCCCAATAAAATGATTTTTTAAATGGATGAACTAAAATAATAAGCATGAGAGATTTTTCATTTATGAGATGTAGTGACATGATTTTAAAAATAACATAAGGGAAGAACCTTAGGATGAAAAACATATTTTTAAGAAAATTTAGCATCATATATGTTAGTGACTGAATAAGTTTCCTCAAATATTGCCAAAAACATTCACTTCAGATCTTGAGGATATATGATAAACCCATTTCCCCTCTTAAAGGCTTTGACCTGCTAATATTTGATGAATTAAATTTGTAGATTTCTATCTTCTGCAAAAACATAGTGGTAAGAACTATCTATCTCCCTCAAACCCACTGCTATCAAGGTCGATTCCACCTCGTAGGAACCCTATATAGAGCTATTGAGACTGTAAACCGTCATGGGCTTGGATAGCCTTCTCTTTTGCCTGAGAGCGACGGGTGGGTTTGCTGATTCTTCAGTCAGCAGCCTTGTGCCTAACCCACAGCGCCACCACGGGCTACTTAAGAACCATCGATACAAGAGGAAAGTGGTGGTCGCGATCGAAAAGATGCGATGGTGTGTTTCGGTGATATGACTGAGGGAGAACCAATCGGAAAAGCAGGGCCCGAAGGGCTGCACAACTCGCAGAAAGTGCTCCATGTCCCTAGACGGTACCCGTCGGAACTCTGGAAATGGCCTGTGCTCTGTTTTCTGATATATCTTCTGAACAGCAACACCTATATATATGTGACATACAGAACGCAACACCGGGCTCAGACAGCCCACCACCTGTGAGGAGGGCACAGGCAGTGCTTCGTCCCCTTTTACAGCGTCTCGTCGCTGAGTCAGAACGGACTCAGCGGCACCTCACAACAAGGCCCAGGGTCGTGTCTCTGTGGCTTCCCTTCCAGGAGGATCGTTCAGCTCTAGAAGCAGAGCGGTTTAGAACAAGTTCCTTGTTCGAAAGGCAAGACACACTGCGCAAACGGTCCGTACGAAAGCGCCAGCGAGAACTGGCACGAGCCGTGCTTTCAAAATATTGACTGTGGGTCTGCACTTTCTTCCGACAGCCTTGACCCAGTCATTGATCATCAGAGGGATGACTCTTGCCAGCGTTCCGGACATCCAGCCACAGAACACGGGGACAGGATGACCAGTTCTGGTTTTCTACAGACTCACCATGTGAATCAGGCCTTTGCCTGCTGTGGTTCTCCAATAGTGCCCTTAATATTTTCTGTACTAACCACAGAGGGATCACCAGCTCCTAAGCATAAGCACAGGATAGCCAGTAACCAGGTTAGTTTCCTATCCATGAGCAGGAAAGCTGCGTGTGTTGGAAGGACGGTTATTTTCTTTGGGAGGTTTAGTTAATAAGGGCAGCTCTCCAGTTGTGCGGGTGTGACCTACCATAGAATCTTGAAATGCAATATTTCTAGTGAAATATTCAAAGAGAATTTCTTATTAGTCTATGATCAAGCAGTTTGTAATGTCCTCCAAAAGAACTTCATTACAATGAATTGTTTTTCAGTGTTAATGTGATGCCTTAAAGCCTTCTCAAAATATTACATTGATTCTTGGCAGACCACATTGGTTTTGTAATTATAAATGCGGAACACATCTTTCTCAATCTTTTAAGCTGTGGTGTTAAGTTAAAAAAATTGAGCCACAATAGGAAGTTAACTATTAAAACAAAAATATGACTAAGTGGGCATGTTGAGTAGACCCTATGATTTAGATCATTTGTGGGCAGTCTTGTTTTTCATTTTTCATTTAGAAAAAAAATAGCTTGCAACTCCAACGTGGAGTTTTAAATGACTTAAACCTCCTCTTAGTTGCACATGCTTTTTGATACCGAGCATAATAAGATAACCGGGGTCGATCATATCCCAGAGTGATTAAAAGTGAGAGACACATGAAGTCACAATCCAAAACAAAAATTAGTCCAATGCAAAGTACAGTGGGAGAGAAGAGGAAAGAATAAAAGTTGCATTTCTATGGAGTGGGGATGTTTTGAAAATGATTTATTTTAAAAAGTGAAAAAAACATGGCAATAGTCATTAAATCATCTGGTCAAATTATACATGTACGAGAAGTCCATCTATCATTTTAGAAGATGAAGATGTGTGGACAATGGAATAAAGAACAGATAACTAGAAGTTCTGTAAAACTTGGTTGTTGTTAGCTGCTGTCTAGTAGATTCCAAACAGGAGCCTGTAGATAGTGGTTACGCTTTGGGCTGCGATCAACATTGTTGGCAGTTCAAAACCACCAGTAGCTCTATGGGAGAAAGACTGGGCTTTCTACTCTGTTACACAGTTACAGACTCAGAAACCCATAGGCAGTGGCCAGGAGTCAGCATTAGCTCGATGGCAATGAGCGGGTGAGTAGATTCCAACTCATGGTCACCCGGGGGGTGCAGAATCGAACTGCTCCACAGGCATGTCAAGTGTGTGGCTTTACATAGGCAAATCTCCAGGCCTCTCTTCTGATGTGCCGCTGGATGGGTTCAAATTGTCAACCTTCTACTTAGTAGTCAAACACTTAACTGTCCCTCCCAGGGACTCTCTCGTAAAAAGCGATCTACTGCCATTGATTCAAGTATGACTCATAGCAAGCCTGTAGGACAGCGTAGAACCGCTCCATAGGCTCTGTAAGGCAATGATCTTCACTAAAGCAGACAGTCGTATCTTTACAAAGCAGTTCATGGGTCCACACAGTCACCTTTTGTTTGGCAGCCGAGCATTTACTCACTTTACCATCAGATTAAAATGTAGAATCCCAAATGTCTGGAAGGAGTGTGCAGGAAAGGTAAACGAGGGGGCTAGTGACTGGTGCTTCATGCTTTGGAATAAACCAACAATGAAACTAACAACACGATTCATAGCACACTCTGGAAAGAGTGCCAACATTTAGAAGCAATCAAGTTGGATAATTTCTATATCCCCAGAATGATAAACTACACAGCCTGGGAACAAACTTAGCAGCAGTTGAAGCCCTGGTGGTCCTGGTGGGGTGTGTGGGGAGCTGCCAGCCTGCAGGGTCAGCAGAATGAACCCATGAGCCGCCCCGGGCAGGGAGACAAGGCTTTCTACTCCCATAAAGAGTCACAGTCTGGGAATCCCACAGGGCAGATCTGCCCTGTCCTATAGAGTCGTTTTGAGCAGCAATTGTCTGGATGGCGGCGACAGTTTGAGAAGCTCATTCTGCTCGTTATAACAACAACAGCAACAACAACACCCCAAACTGACTGCCGTCAGGTTGATTCCAACTCATAGTGACCCTAACGGACATAGTAGAGCACCTCCCCAGTGGCTTTCCGAGACCGTAAATCTCTAATAGGAGTAGGTAGCCTACACTTTCTCCCTCGGAGCAGCTGGTGGTTTTGAACTGCTGACCTTGTGATTAGAGTGCAACTCATAGGCCACTACGTCACCATTTGCTCATTATACTCTCCTATAAATTGTATTTACTTACCTGAAATTTAAAAAAAACAAACCACTTTTTTAAGCCTGGAAGTTGAAAAGGGAACGCTCTCTGGAAGAAAGGTCCTTCCGCCCACCCGAACGCCACCCGCGAGTTACCTTGACTCTGGAGACTGAGGCCGGTAGTTCCAACTGATGACCTGAGCAGCCACGTAGAACTGCCTGAGCTGGGCTGCTTCGGCCTCTTGCCTCCCCCAGCTGGCCCAGCTGGCTCCCAGGACCACGAGGACCCAGAAGCGCGGGCAGTCGGGGGCCATGGTTCCGTTTCGGGTCCTGCTTCTGTTCCTGCTCGTGCTCCTGCCCGCGGCGCCCTGGGACCTGGGCAAGGCGCCCTGGCAGCGGGCTGCAGTGAGCGCTCAGAGGCAGCGGGTGGCAGCGTCTGCCCTCCCTGGTGCTGCTCCAGGCGCCTCCCCAGGCCGCCGCCTCTTGTAGCCTACGTAGTGCCCCCACCCCACTTCTCCACCCCCACCGGGGTCGTTCTGAGCCGGGGGTCCGCTAGGTCACTGCCCCGGAAGACAGGAGCTGTTAAAGAGCGCACCGGATCCCTTGACTGTTTTACTCTAGTAAGCAGGGCAAGGTCCAGGGAAGCCTGAACCGAGGTCAACACTGTGAGCCTCCACCTCCACCGGAGCCCACCACCGGACCCAGAGCTCTCACCACGGACCACCACACCTGCCTGGATCAAGGTTCACAGCCAAGGGCGCACAGCAACCAGATCACCTCCTGACCTGAGCCAAAGGGTCTTAAGTGTTCCGGGGGCGCAGACAGAGAGGCACGCTCCTCCCTTCGAGTGGTGGGGAATGAGGGGAAACGGCCCTGAATCACTTCCCTGCTTCTGCCCGCCTCCTGAGAGGCACTGATGGTTCCATGGGGGGATTCTCTGCTGCCCTGAAGAAGGTTGATTCCAGGCAGGAGTGCCTCCAGTCTGTCCCTGGAGGCTTGAGCACAGCTATGGTGCTGAGCAGGATTCAGCCGAGGTACCAGACAACACTTACTAGGAAGAAAGGCCTGGTGAGCTACTTCTGAAAATTAGAGAGGGCAAACTCCCTGGCTCATTGGCAGCCAGTGAACCAAGCCACCATGCCGACACCAATGCTCCGATCTGTCAGATGACGGAGACCATAGATCCCCGGGCTAAGAAAAGCAGTAGACCCGACCTCAATTCCCCAGCAGGTGGTCTTGGGCGATTCAATAACCTCTTTCTGGAGCTTGGTGATGGCGTTGGCAACATTGGGATGATAAGAAGAGTTTTGTTCTGATCTGGTTGTGGTGAGGAATCAAGATTACAGTCGAGTGTATAATTCATAGCACTTGGAAAGCACACAGCGTGTATTTATTATTATGATTATACTTCCCTGCCTCCAGAAAAATACATGCTCTTGGTGTGACCGTTGCAACATGGCTCTGTAATTTTATTTGCAGTTAACAGAGGACCTGAGAAGTGATGGAAGCAACATCGTGATGACTTAGTCTGGTTCCCTAGCTCCGCATGCCTCTGACCAGTTTGATGCTCTGTCTTGATTCATTCAGTAGATTGTAATCTAGGCATCTCATGTAAGGTCAAATCTGATTATGTCAGGATCTGTAACAAGTTCCCTCCTCCTATACACAAACTTCTTTAGTCTTATTTCTTTCTGTTTTTTGTTTTGTTTTGATTTTTTGCTTACCAAACAGAAATTTATTGTCTTACAGTTTATGAGGCCAGAAGTCTAAATTCACGGTGCCAGCTCTGGGGGCAGGCTGCCTCACAAGTTTAGGAGGAAGGCCTTTATCTCCTGGCAGCTTCTGTATGCCCAGCACTTCCTGGAGATCTATGCACCTTGACATCAATCAGCACAGGGATCCCAGGTCCGAAGGACACATTCCACTCCCCACTCCTCTCTTGGTGGTGGTTGGTCCCTCTGCATCTGCACACAACCCTCTGTCTTTGCTCCTTTGCAAGTATTATTCAACCAGCTCAGAATGCCCATTAAGTCTTCTCCTGTCTACCAGTAAAATCCCCACTAGTGGTCTATGTACCTACCTCTCTGTATCAGAACTCAAAAGATTTTTTCCGTTTTCTGAACTCTTAAGCAAGACTGCATTCAAATTACATAAGAATACACTAAAAACATTCTTGGAAATCTGGAATTAAAAAACAAGGCAACTTTCCAGAACAATTTGAAGCCCCCTCATATGCATGTTGGTTATTCTTTATTATTTTGTGTGAGCATTTATTGTTAATGGTTTATACTTTAAGATCTATGTCAGTGGCTCCCAGAGCTGGCAAACCATCAGAATCCACTACAAGCTATTACGGAATGCAGATTCTGACACGGGAGCCAGGGCTGAGAACTTTATCGGAGTGATTGGCATGTAGCAGTCAGAGATGGTACTGATAGTGTATCAGAGAACAATTTAAAAAGTGCAGTGTTCCTAAGGGTACTGCAAAATTATTGCAGCCCTTTTTATGACGAGTGACATGGCTTTTCCACTTTTCCACATATGTAAGCATATGTGCTTACACCCAGGTCTTCAAAAAGTTCAGCTCATGGACTTCGTGATGCTCCTTCCTATACCCTTCAATGTGGATGGCCTATGAATTCATTGCATTTCAGGGACACAAAAACTCTATTTTGGTTTTGTTCTCAGCCCTGGTGGTGTGGTGGTTAAGCGCTGGGCTGTCATCCACAAGGTTGGAAGCTCAAACTCCCCAGCCACTCCTTAGGTGAAAGTCTGGGCTTTCTACTCCCATAAACAGTTACAGTCTCAAACTCACAGTGCAGTTCTACCCTGTCCTATAGAGATGCTATGAGTCGACATTGACTCGATGGCAGTGAGTTTGGTTTTGTTCTCGAACTTTTGTATTCATGTAACAATGGTACCTCTGTGAAGGGAGACGTCGGACAGTGCAAGACATGACAAAATAATAACTTATAAATTATCGGGGGTTCATGAGGGAGGGAGGGTTGGGAGAGTGGGGAAAGGTGACGAACTGATACCAAGGGCTCAAGTGGAAAGAGTGTTTTAAGAATGATGATGGCAGCACATGTGCAAATGTGCTTGACACCCTGGATGGGTGTATGGATTGTGAAGAGTTAGTTGTACAAGCGCCCAATAAAATGATTTTAAAGAGAAAAAAAAGGTACCTCTGTATAATTCTCAGTGACTTATTTACATAACACGTGGTAGTTAAAGAGCGCACACAACACTCGGTTCTCTCCTGTAGAACGTTCAGGAGATGATGACTTTTTCTGCTTGCCAGATGTGCTCTGCGAGGAGCATGCTGGGTGGCTGCTGACGGACTGCAGAAGCTGTCCTAGCTACAAATGGCTTCCAGTCTGACAGTTACGGCAAACAGAGTGACGGACACAGATGGTATTGGACAAAATATCAGACAGAACAAGGCATTTGGGCAAATCTCTTTAATTACAGATTTGAATATCTGTCGCTGGGTCCTTTGGGGGAGAGTGATAAGGAGAGCTGGTGTTGGGTAAGTGTTGAACAGTTCAAGCCCACCATCTGACCCTCACGAGAAAGATGAGGCTGTCTGCTCCCATGAAGATTTGCAACCTCAGAAACCCCATAGAGGGTTGCTCTGAGTCAAACTTTGGTGGCAGTGGTTATTTGGGGTTTTGACTTGTAGGGTAAGATTGATTTGACGCCTCTCTGGAAGCCTCAGCAGCAGAAACTTTGTAAACAGCAGCTCCCAGAGAGACCCCAGTGGGTCCTAATGGAATTCTTTCAAGTCAGAGACTGCTGCCTGCCTTCCAAAGTAGAAGATACTATCTTCCAGTACAAATGGAGAGGCATTGTGTGTCTCCACAACCTCGTCTTCTGGTGAATGAAAGGCTCCAGGTACTTTGACTAATGCTGCTTATTTCAAGTAACAGCCAAGGCACCTTCGTTGTTCACAGCAGAAAGCCCTGCTCCTGACTTCTGCTGCGTGTGGCGGAGGCCGAGGAGGGGTGGAGCAGGAAGCAGTGGTAGAGTTTGGGATCGTGGTACAAGTCTCCTCTTCTGGTCCAGAGGCAATCCAAAGGAAACTCCATGTCCTCTATTCACAGGTATTTACAGCAAACACAAAGCCTGTAGTTGAAGTCAAGTCTCACAGGCAGTCTGATGTTTAAAAACAGGATCCTGAGACGTTTGAATGGGATGGCCAGAGGAAGGAAGGGCTCTGAAAAAGAGACAAGAGAGAAGTACGTATATGTTTCTTTAAACAGAAAGTAATTTTTGCAAGAACTGAATTTTAAAGTGATCCTAGGGGACAGGCTCTCTAGTGCTTTCTTTCTCATGTACTGTCCACAGACTCTGACTGCTTAATCAGTGCCTGTCCCCGAGATATTGTAGGCTATTGGTTTTCAATGCTGACCTCTAAGTCAGAATTTGCATTTTGTTTGAAGAAGAAAGATAAAAGGAGGAAAGAAGTAGGAAGAAGAAACCTGTCTCCACTCCCGAGTGGTGCAAATGTTGGATGTATTCAACTGCTAACTGAAAGGTTGGAGGTTTACATTCACCCAAAAGTGTCTCAGAAGAAAGGCCTGGCTATCTCGTTGCTAAAGATCAGACATGGGACTCTCCATGGAGCGCAGTTATCCTGTGACACACAGGAGCTGCGATGAGTTGAGAGTCAACTCCACAGTATCTGGTAGCTGGAAGCTCAATGTAATCTTTCCCAGAATCCATATATTCTATCAGCCAGGATATTCTTCTTGGGGACTTCAACTACGCATGGCACTTGTCGGAAGAGGGGCAGTCTCTGATTATTTTTGTTTTCCCAGCAGGTTGCCTTCAGGGTTTGTGGGGGGAGGTCAGATGTGCAGGCATTCCCCCCCTGAGGGCCATCAGTTGCCAGACTGCAGTGTGGCCTGCTCCCTACTGCTAGGGACAATGGACAGGCTCCTGTAGGAGGAGTTCACATCCTACTGATAATGGCCTCTATCAGTTGATCCAGGAACAAGTCAAACCAGCTCTGTGACATCCAAAGTTAAGCTGCCATCCTAACTCTAGGATCTGCCCATCTTGTCACATGTATACCCCCAATACCTCCTCTTCCTATTGCATGTATGTTCCTAGATCACCCCCTCTCATTGCTGTATAACCTACTGTGCAACCCCTTCCTGTGATGTATGTCTTTACCTGTAATTAGGGGGCTTGCACGCACCAAAGGTATATAGGTCTGGGTCAGCAATAGAGATCTCTCTTTGGCTGGGCTCTCACTGGTCCTGCTCGCCTCTCTTCCCCCTCTCTTCTTCTGGCCTCTCTCCCCTGTTTCCCTTTCCCCGTCCTCCTTCCCTGCCCCCTCTCTCCACGTGGACCACCAAGCTGGGCTGAGGTGAGCAATGCTACCACGTAATGTGTCTGACTGCCTCATTGTAATATCTCTTGTATCGCTCATGCTCTCGATGACTTTAATATAATACTTACATACCTCAACCGTACAATTGTGCATTACTGAACCCGTGAGTAGTAGTGCTGGGGGGCTGGCCCTCACACCCTTCATACTACAAGGGTTGGCTCCGTAAACATTGGTTAACCTTTCATGGCAGCTGTGACTTCTGCCTCACAAGCAGAAGGGCCCTGGAACCACCTCACAGCCACTGACGGGACTACCATACGCCCAGACGCAGCTGGCCCTCGTGAGAAGCCATCCATTCTGGCAGAGGGGGACTTGTCGGAGGAACTCCCGTTCTGTGCCCTGCTGCCAACAGACTGACCTTTATGGCAGGAATGTAATCATCCATGGTTCAAATTTAACCTCAAAACAAATAAGTAAACCCGGTTACCCTCGAGTCGAGTTCTACTCATGTCAACTCAGGTATGTTGAGGTAGAACTGGGCCCTGTAAGGTTTTCAATGGCAATTTTTTAAAAAGTAGATTTCCAGGCCTTCCTTCCAACGTGCCTCTGGGCGGATTCAAGCCTCAACTTTTGGTTAGCCCCTCCAGTGTGTTAGTGGCTTGTACCACCCCCAGTCTCCTAAAGTTTAATATATGATAACATCATATAAAGAAAAGTCAAATTTTATACTCTTTCTCTTTCCCTGTCTCTTTCCTTTCCTTCCAAAATATCTTCAGAAGTCACTTACCTTAAGGATTCGGGTCAAATGCAGCATTTGTGAAAACTCCGTACGTTCCTAGGTGGCTGAAAGAACAGAAACACCAGGATGACGTCCCGGGTCATGTCCAGTCCCCAACAACGCAGAAACGGCACACAAAGTGTCTCCAGAAACCGCAGAACCACCCACCCGGGAATTCTGCTTCCAAGAAAAGTTAGGTGCCAGGTTGCATGTAACCGTGCTGAGTAATTTGCATTGTGCTCTGTATCCACCTGAAATTGTGGTTGATGCTTGATGTCCTGGCTACCTTTCCTGGGTGAGGTAGCTACAAAGTTCCAGTTTCAATACTTGATAATCTAACAATCATTTCCAATGGGTGGCCATGCCGCCCCCTAGGGGCATTGTTTTTGGTTTACAGAATGAACATGGAATTCTACTAGCATTTCATAAATAGAAACTGGAATCTCCTAAAAAGTATACCTCCTAAATAATCTAAGTGGGGAAAATGGCTGACTCCATTTCAACTCATAGACTCATAGCAACCTTATAGGACAGACTAGCACAGACCCACAGGGTTTCCAAGCCTATCCATCTCTATGGAGGCTGACTACCACAGCTTTGTGGATTTAATACCGGCCAAGTGCTTAACCACTGCACCGCAAGAGCTCCTCCCTGCAATGCACAGGAGACAAAATGTGTCCCGCACCCCATGAAACTTCAACATATCTGCTCGATTCCTGTAGAGGAGAGATTTCTAACTTGACTGCTTTACCTGTAAAGGTGAAGTCATTTTGTCTTTTAAAATGGAGCTGCTGGACAAATTGAGGGATGTTATGGCACAGGTTTGACAGCCCTTCACCAGAATCGTTCCTTCACCATTTTCAAAATCGGATGGGGTGCTATTTGGGTCACCAGCACACTAACAAACATCACTCCCCTCAGTCTGCCTTTGTGGCAACAGTGCCCGGAGGGATTCCACCGGGGGTTGAACAGGTTCATTCTGGTTTCACAGCACCTCCATCCCCCTGAGAGTGTGCATTTCCACCCCAAATATTCTGTATTTTAATAAGATCCCTAAGATGATTCCTTTACAATAAGCTCACCTGGGATCTTGTTAAAATGTCGATTCTGACTCAGTGTATTTAGGGTTGGCAAGGCCAAGTATCAGCAGGGGTCAAGTCGGAATTAGCCAAATTGGGACCGTGGTGGAATCATTATCAACAACAGCTACAAAGGCAGACTGATTAACAGGGGTGGGGCTGAGGGGAGGTCTTGTCTCCGCTGTTCTACTCAGAGATGTAACCTTTGACCATCTGCCAGTGTGGTACAAACGTTAACATGTATTTGTGTGGTGTGTCACTTTCTTGTTTGTTTCTCCTTTGGGCTATAACTTACTGATTTTAATATGTATGTGTAGTGAGGGTCATTGTATATATATTTACTTCAAGGTAATAAAGGGGACATGGGAAAAGATTTCTTGTAAAGAAATGGTGTTGTGGATGATCATTGCGGCCCATCATAGTGCCTTAAAAAATCAAAGTAGGAACATTTAAGTCCATTATAAAACATATCCATCTTACCTTTGAGGGCTCAAGGGGCTTTTCCCATCATCTAAAATAGGTGAGAAGACACAATGGTTGGTATAAGAGGAAAATTAAAAGGTGAAAGATAAAGATCTGTGATATGAACCCCTGGGAGAAGCCAATAGACTGATTTTCAGATGGAAAACTGTATGACTCTTCCTTTAAAAAATAGAAATAGAAATACACAGGACCCAGCAATCCCCCTTCTAGGTATGTACCCTAAAGAAGTAAGAGCTATGAAGGACTAGACCTATGCATATCCATGTTCATTGCAACATTATTCATAAAGTCAAAGATGGAAGCGACCTACGTGTCTAACAGCAAATGAAAGGATAAGCCAACTGTGGTGCATACATACAATGGAACACTGCTCAATGATAAAGAATAAGAAAACATTTCGCAACATGGATGGATGTGGGGAACATTATGCTGAGTGGAAGAAGTGAATTACAAAAGGACAAACACTATAAGACAAGTATTATAAAAAAGAATGAAAGAAAAGATTCACACACAGGGGAAAAATTAATGGTTGCCGGGGATGGAAGGTGGAAAGAGGAAAAATTCATAATTAAATAGAAGAAAGAAAAAATTCGCTGTCATTGAGTTGAATCCCACTCATATCAATCTTGTGTATAGTCTCCAAAGCTGCACATCTTAATAGGAGCAGTAGATTCATCTTTCTCCTGTGGAGCGAGTGGTTGGTGGGTTTGAACTGTCAACCTGCAGTTAATTGTCCAATGTTTACATTGCCACCATGGCTGCTAAGTAGAAGACACGTGCTAATAATGGTGGAAGAAAAGGCAGTGTAGCTATGGGGAAGTCGGCACAGCATGACCAAGACAAAGGAAGAACCTGGAAATAACACAAGAATGGAGCACAACTGTAGTGACTACTGAGGAGTCTTGGTGGTATGGTGGTTATGTATTGGACTACTAACCACAAGGTCAGCGTTCAAAACTGCCAGCTGCCCTGAGGGAGAAAGATGAGGCTTTCTACTCCCATTAGGAGTAGTGTCTCAGAAACCCAGAAGCAGGTCTA